CAATTTCTTGTGCACACAGATGCCTCCATGTTTGGGCTGTGAGCCGTGTTGAACCAAGTGAGGTACAACGGCATGGAACACCCGGTGGCATACCTCAGCCGTAAACGTTTGCCCAGATAAGTCAGCTATGCCACCGTGGAAAAAGAGTGCCTAGCCCTAGTCTGGGCGCTGAATAAATTGCAGCCTTACCAGTATGGCCGTGCTTTTACCCTTATGACGGACCGTAATCCCCTTGTGTGGCTAAACCGTGGAGCTGGCGACAACCCCAGGCTATTGCTGTGGAGCCTAGCCCTTCAACCCTACAATTTTACAATGCAGTACCGGCCGGGCTAACAAAACGGTAATGCAGATGGTTTGTCGCGACAGACCGAGCTGGACTCCTGATTTAATTTTCCCTGACATCCCCAAGCCAACCCGGCAGGATCTAGGCGGGTATGCCGACCCATGGAACTAAAGGGGAGCAGTGTGAATAAATCACTAAGTTCTTTCGTTTATTTCCTTTTCTTTCATTCAGTATTTGTAACTACTGAACAGAGACAACCCACTGGCTCATTAACTTCAAAGCAAACCTTCAATTAAGCCCTCTCCCTGTGCGGCCGCCATTCGTATTGTCGAACGCCATGTGGCTGAGAAAACGGCGGCCATCTTGTTTGTGCGAACAAAGACAGCGGGACTTCGTCGTCGAGTGTCTGGGACTAAAATCGAACACTCGACTTCCCGAACACCGGTCCCAAACACACGAATGCTGGATCTTAATTTCCCGAACAGCTAGGAGAGCGCTGTTCTGTACTTTTGTTCATTCGTATGAGGGTAACAATCGCTGCTAGGAGCCAAGCCAGGGGGAAACGTTTGTGGATTTTTTTTCGGTTTTTACAACTTTACGAAATAGACCGGCAAAACCACACAAACTTGTGGAACTGTTTTGGGCAGGAACCTCGCGTGGGGATACCTTATGTTTTAAGGGGTGTTCTGAAAGTTGGGTAAAATTTTACTTTTTCTGCCTTGAGATAATTAAGTTATTACGTTATCAGCCCTAATTATCTCCAGGTGTAGGGGAGGGAATTATAAGTTTGTACTGGGAGTGTTTAACTATTACTCTATTGATTGGTTATATGATTTATGTCTTGTGGGTAAAAAAGCCGGTGTGGCATCATTAAAAGTCAGTTCTGTTGTACCCTTCTTGTAGACTTCGGGTGATGTTTGGGTATCTGTCTACTTGGGAAGCTGTTATTCGTATGGAGATCGCATATTTTATTTGCCAAACAGAGAGTTTTAGTCACTGACACTCTAGCTGTTTGGGAAGAAACAACCAAATGGGTATTAGATATACCAGGTTTCCTTACAGCAGTTATAAAGCCCCTACAGGTGAGGCTAATGACCTCATTAGGAAGTGAGACAGAACTCCTCAGGAAACCTGGGCTGGACTCATGCACAGCCACTCTGACAGTGGGGTGGAGAATCGGCCCACGCTGCTCTTCCGAATACTCCACCAGGATAGTGGCTGCACAAATGTCTGGGTGCCAGATATACACCCCTGACCCCCATCCCCAAAACTCTGTCACAATACATATATATAGACTTAAACCCAACAAAAGATAGGCATCCTGACTGTAGTTTGGGTTAATTCCCTGATTCCACTAACTGTGGAACTCAGGACTGAGACTGAGGGAGGAGGTGGAAAAAAATAATCTGGATGAAGCGGAAATGTTGTGACTTGGAAATGAGTCTTGAAACGTGATGCTCCTCCTAGGAACGAGGGAAGGAATGCAATATGGATACACCTGACGGGATTTTAAGAACCTATAAATGAAGGGACTTTTGGCCTGCTATTATGTCACTGGATTGAAGCAGTTTTATTGGCAAAACACGCCTCTGGGACTTTGCATATAATACATATAAATAGGGATTTCTCACCCCACTTGGGTGGCATGTTTATTCATTATTCTTGGGTCCTCTACCAGGGCCCTGGGAGTTCTACACAATATCTTAGCTGATCATAGAACTGCACTCTTTTGGACAGCGATCTTAGATGTCCCACCATCTGAAGATACAGTTTTGAGATGATTCCTTTATACATTCACTAACAGCACACTGTATCGGAGCATAGCGGCTGCAAGTATCTGAAGTGTGGTCTTTCATATATTGAGCTTGTAAGTGATTGTATTGCCGAAATGGAACTATGCCTACTTCTTAATGTCAGATCTAACTTCTTATTGTCTGATTTAGCGCAAGACCTGGCTCCCATTATCTTCGTGCTTTATGATATAACCAGCCAGATCATTCTGCTAAGACCATATGGTGACAGACATGGCCAGCAACTTATACAACAAAAATGATGATTTTGCACCATCAATCTACAAATTAGAAGAAACATTTATCTTTTTAAGAATGTAACTTTTTTACTTTGCTTAATTCCACCGGTTTACATGTTTATACACAGTGTTTTCTTAGGGGTGTGCGAGCTGTGCAGCCGCACAGGGCGCCATGGAGCAGGGGCGCCATGTGGCCGACACAGCTTGCACATGGCCAGGTGACATGAGTACAGAGGAGATAAACAGGTACTCTATACCCAGGTCTTTTAAAAAAAAAAAAAAAAAAAAAAAAGGGGGCAGGGCTTAATGAGCGGTGGGGGTGGAGCTTATTGTGAGGGTGAGGCGGGGCTAATACCTACCCGAAGCCCCTGGTAACTGCTGCACAGGAAGAGGGAAGAACATCAACTGCATCCACTCTCCCTTCCAGCCATAAGGGAAATAGGAAAGTCTGTGTGTGTGTGTGTGACTGTCTGCCTGTTTGTGTGTCTGCCTGCCGGTGTGTGTGACTGCCTACCCGTGTCTGTCTGTCTGTCTGTGTGACTGTCTGCCTGCCTGTGTGTGTGACTCTCTGTCTGTCTGTGTGACTGTCTGCCTGTGTGTGTAACTGCGTGTGTGTGTGTGTGTGTGAGACTTTCTGCCTGCCTGGGTGAGTGTGTGACTTTCTGCCTATTTGTGTGACTGTCTGCCTGTGTGTGTGACTGTCTGTGTGTGACTCCAATTGTGTGTGTCGCTGTAGCTGTGCTGTTGTGTGTGCCTGTGTCAGTATGTGTGACTATCTGCCTTTAACTGAGTGTGTGTGCCTATAAGCGTGCATGAGTGTCTGCATGCCTGTAAACGAGTGTATGACTGTCTGCTTGTAACGGTGTGTGTGATTGTCTTCCTGTAACTGTGTGTGTGACTGTGTGCCTTTAACTGTGTGTGACTGTCTGCTTTTAACTGTGTGTTTGGCTCTGTGACTGTCTGCCTATAACTGAGCATGTGGTGACTGTATACAGGCAACTTGGGGGGGTGGGCGCCGTGAAGACTTTTTGCACAGGGCTCCTAATGGCCTAAGGCTGGCCCTGGTGATATCCAAGGTCACTTTGTATAGAAGTATGATAGTTCCAAATGGCACAGGTATATAGTTGGATAATAGAGGGCATACAGGGTTACTCCTAAATGCATGACTTGATATTGATATGGAATGGAGTTATTGCTCATAAAACTGTCATTATTCTTATGTACACAATTGAGACAAAGCCCTCTGTCTCCAAGATGTTATTATGCTCTTGATTCTCTGAGGAAATAAACATTTAGGATGATATAATACATTGCTATTAAAACACAGGATAGATAGTACCTCGTGCCAGCAAAGCTGGCACATGTTGGGAGATCTCTTTCATCGAGATGTTGGAGATGCAGCCAAGCATCTGGCACAATGTTAAATATTTGGTGGCAATGTGACTTGGTGCAAGCCTTCTGGGTTAAAGTTATGAGTCTGATTACAAGTAAAACAGGAATACCATGAACCCTATAAGTGGAACTGTGTTTACTCTTAATGAATTCCATCGGACAGACCCAACATTCTAAAAAGAATAGTCTTCCATGTTCTAGTAAACAGCATTGCATTACTAGCTAAATTTAAAGAAATCCACAGTATAACTGGGTAACTCTCTCACAGGGGAATATAAATGAATGATGACACCTCAAACAACTAACCTCCAGGTTGTGGGACCCGTGGAGATTCCGCATAGAGCTTGATAGGAAACCTTGGAACCTAACACTAATGAACAACAAAGAATAGGATGAATCTGCATAGAGTCACAATGTACAAATTATTCAAGAACATACCATCAGCTAAATCAACTTATGAATCCACCAACTTCTCACGATTATTATACTGGCCAGTCCTAAAACACATGTTTATCCTATAATAATAATATAATACTCAGCAGTAAATCCAAATGCATCCAAAAATCTAGATCAGCACTATGCAAAACACTTAGGAGGAAACCAAATATGCCTCTGTTATTTTGTTATTTTGTTTTTGTTAATGTGTCTGATTCAAGTCTAGTACTGAAGCTTGTTAAAAAAAATAAAAAAAATTGACGGGGTGGACCCCGACCACCATATCAAACAGTCGCATTAACTCGGAGCTCCGGGCTAAAAAGCCAAAATTAAGCCCTTACTCATGTTACCTTGCCGGATTGCCCGGGCTTAAAAATCACGGTTTCCCACAGTGCTACTGTGGGAGCCGAATTAAGGAATCACAGAATCTAGGTGAAGCTGGTGCAGCTCAGGCATTTTTCGGTCCAGGTGGTGGGATGGACACGGGAGAGGCGGCCGATCTCTCCGCACATTGTTCCCGAGCCAGAGCCTGAAACTGCTTCAGATAACTTGCTATCCCCTATCCCCCTCCACTGGTGAGGGATATCCCAGCATAAGCAGTACCCATCACAGATATAGCGACCTGAAGAACATCTCAGGGAGCAATCATCTGGACCCCGTCCTGCCCAAAATGACCAATGCTGTGCTACACTCAAATGGCCCCTCAGCCTCCAGGGGTCTGACCTCCCATACTCTGACTAACCTGGATAACATTTTTGCAGACTTCTGGGCAAAGCTACACAGGAGAATGACAGTCTCCACATCCGCGGAGCAGACAGAGCCTGTACCCTTGCTTAAGGTCGTTGGATAATGCAGCTGAAGATGGCCGCTGTATGGCAGTTGCAGACTGGAGTCAATGATGTCGGGGCAGGAACCACAGGCAGGCACGGAGAACCCATCAGCAACACCATCTGCACTCTCGGATGGGGAAACCAAGATGTCAGACTACTCCTGCAGCTAACCAGCTCTATGCACTTTCCCGACCCTCAAGCAGCATTAGTCTCTACCAACATCACACTAGCACCTCAATCACACGCTGGGCCTATGGTAACCTTTCATAGTAAAACGTTTAAATACAGTAAGCATACTCACATGCAGACACAGACAATCTCACTGACACACACAAACTCATTGATACACAGCCTCATAGACAAACAATTGGAACGTAGGGAGGAGGTGGAGAAAAAGAATCTGGATGAGAACCAGAAATGATGTTGCAAGTGCATAGTGACATGGAAATGAGTCTTGAAACGCGATGCTCCTCCTAGGAACGAGGGAAGGAACGCAATATGGATATACGTGATGGGATTTTAAGAACCTATAAATGAAGGGACTTTTGGCCTGCTATTATATGTCACTAGATTGAAGCAGTTTTATTGGTGAAATGCACCTCTGGGACTTTGCAAACGGCCCACCGGGAAATTTCCTACACACTGCCCCCCTCATGCACGCAAACACACACTGCCCCCTCACACACACTACACCCTCTACACACAAACACAGCACCCTTCACACACAAACACAGCACCTCACAGACACTCAACAAAAAGAATAGAAAAAATAAAAAAAAGGAAAAAAATAGATTTAAGTACATAACTAAAAAACAAACAAATCCTACTTTCTAAATAAAAAAATAAAAAAAATCAATAATAATAAAAAAAAAATCGCACTTACGCTATAAAATTTGTTACTGCGGCACTGGTGGGCATTAAGGACATTTTACCACCAACAAAGATACAAAAGTGGGCGGTAGATATTAAAAGGTTGACTACCCCTTTTTATCACAATATTTTCATGTTGCTGCTTGATAATGTTCTTTAACAGCTTTTGCCAATTGCATTTTATCATTTCATCCTATTTGGAAAGGAAGGAGTTGTTGAAAAACGGAATTCCCACTTTCATCAAACAGAGTGAGATGCTGTGGGTCAACAGACTGCCACAATCTCTCACTGACCACTTCATTCGCTAAATGTATTAACTCGTTACTGTCTTTTGCTAATGTATTAAAGGGATCCTATAGTGAAAGGAAAACAATCCCGTTTTCCTGGCACTATGGGCTCTTGGAGTGCCCCCTCACTCGGTGCTGAAGGTTAAAACCCCTTCAGCCACTTACCTGAATTCAGCGCTGATGTCCCTCGGCGCTGGGCCAGGCCTAAGACATAATGCGCATGAGCGGCAATGGCCACGCACGCATTAGACTTCCCTGTAACGGACCGTTTTGCACACAAGGGGTTAAAACCGTTTAGGCGATCATCCCCTTTCAGATGCACAGGCACAGCTACTGTAGAACACCCAAACACACGAACCGCATGTAAGGGAATGCTCCAAACTCCCGAACGGCATACACTGTAACAATCCAAACTCACGAACTGGAACCATACGAATCGCTGCTAGCAGACGAATAGGAAAAGCATCCAAGCGGCTTACACTCCTAGCAATCAGTCTCTATCAGCATACAGTAAATCCTCCCCAAAGACGAGACAAGGCTCCGTGTTGGTGGTCAAGCAGTGGTCTGTTTAATGAGGGCTACCTGCCCAGTATTTATGCAGGTCTCCCACCTGGTGGACACTCCCCTAGGGGACCAAATGGGAGACTGTGACAAGGGACAGACGAGTAGCCAAATAGGACACACAGTCACATTGTATTCCAACAATGCATCCCGGCTTCCTCCCCTCTGCCCTGGAGATAATTGAGAAGTAATTTAATTATCTCCCAGGACAAAGGCAAATCGCCATTATGCATGTTTAAAATGGCTGCGACCTCGTGTTCGGTATACGAATGGCGGCCACCCAGTAATTGTCAATTGAGCTGCGGTTAACCGCAGCTTCTGGGAGGCTAATTGCCAGCTCCCAGGTGGTCTAGTCATTCGTGCGGGCAGAAAAGCACGAATAAGTCTTTTCTGCAGGGAAAAAGATGTCTTTTAACATGGGGCCATAGTCCAAAGTCAGCAGGCGAGCTTCTCCAATGCAATGTGGCGAGATTGCTCTCGTCACATTCCCCATGAAAGAGCATTATTCAATGATGACGCCCAGTATCAGATAAGTGCGATTTACTCAGTGTAAATCGCGGAAGCGGCCTTTGGTGGCTGTCAGGGAGGCTGGATTAACCTTGCTGTGTAAACATAGCAGTTTCTCTGAAACTGCTATGTTTTCAGCTGCAGGGTTAAAACTAGAGGGGCCTGGCATCCAGACCACTTCATTGAGCTGTAGTGGTCTGGGTGCCTATAGTGGTCCTTTAAGAAACCTGATGCTAACTTTCTCAAGGATCTCACTGCTTTTTATTGTTTATACATTGTGTTGCACCTCTAACAGTTTCAGTTTTTTTCCTGTAGTTGATATTCTAACTGGTGCAAACAGGGGTTTCAAAGAAGATTGTACACATTTTGTATAACTGCTTGTTTTTCCCATGTGATTTTTTAATTTTTTTAATTTGTATTTTATTGAGTTAATATCATCAACATACTTATTTTCCATATATGAAAAATATGATAAAGCAATAACGTGAAAATATGTATGGGTACCATGAATAAGTCAATAAATATAACAAATATAACAGGCAAGGCTGTCAATTTTGTTGTCAGTGTCCTGAAGGTGTTTGGTTCTGGCAGCCTCTCTTCCCTCCAGTTCCTGCTTCGGAGGTAGGAGATGTAGCTCCCGAGCAGGGAGAGATGAGCTGGTCTTCTTCCTCCAGCGAGGCCTCTGATGGCTCCAGCGCACTGTAGATTTCCGGTGCTATTTTTGATTGTTGCTGCAGTGGTGGTCGCTCCAAAAAGAGAAGCCTGATATCAGGCTGGTGGTGCAGAGCCTCTGGGCGGTTGTGCCTCTTGTTCTTGCGCCCCATTGTCTCTGTGTGTGGGGGATCCGTTTCTGGCATTGTTAACTGTTGTTTTGCAGCATATTTTCTCTATTTTCCTGTAGGCCCAATCGGAGCTCAGGGAATATGCGTCTGCTCAGAAGCTCTGTAGGTCACGCCCCTCCCTTAGTTGTGATTTTAAAGTCCCCATGCTCTGTTGCAATTTACATTGATCACAGACTATTATTTTTCAATTTAAGCTTTTGCAACTAGCAAACTCTTACTTCACTTTTCAGCTTTTAGGTGCTGCCATTTAGATATTTCATCAGTAGAGGTTATTGTACTTATCAAAGTTACATAAACAGTTTCCCATGGTTTAAGTGGAGTATCGGACTCAACAATAAAAGGATCTTTGTAAGCCTCTGTTTGCTTCTTAAACCGATCCGTGGCCATTTTCCTGGGGTATTTGATGTCTTCTTCAATACTTTGGACTACGGAGAATTGGAAGACTTTGCCAGCTTTAGATCTTTCTTCCTGTGTTTTAGCAGCTTGAGATCTCACTGCCAATATTTCCTTTTTCTTTTGGGTAAACAGCAAAAATAGCTGTGAGAATGGCTGAGCTTTATGGATGAGTGTCTCTTTTCAGCCTATGTAACTGAGTTTTTGGCAGGCAAGACAAGACTCACATATCCCTATTTTTCAATCCGCATGCTCAGGGCCATCTTTAATTTAGATTGGACCCTGGGCGAGCATTTACTTGGGCCCCCTGACTACGTCTAGATACACACAAATACACTACCTGACACACATGCAGATACACACTGACCACATATAGATACACACAAGAACATACAGATACACACAGACTACATATAGATACACTGACACACACACAGATACAAACACTGACATACATGCAGATACAAAGGTACACACACTGACTACTTATAGATACACCGACACACACACTGACAGACAGACACACAGATACACAACCTGACACACATGCAGATATACAGATACAAACACTGACACATACAGATACACACACAAATACAAATGGACAACATACAGATACAGAGACACATTCTGACAGACGTACTGACACAGACTCACACACAGAAAACCATACTGAAACACACATACACAAAGACATACTGAACCACACAGACACTGATGGACTCTCACACAGACATACAGATACACTGACAGACATACTGGCACATATACACACAGACAGACGGACATACTGAAACACACATACACACAGACATTGACAGACATATTGACAAACACAGACATACAGAACCACACTGACAGACTCACACATAGACATACTGACAGACATACACACATTCTGGCACACACACACAGACAGACTGAAACACACATAGACACAGACACTGACAGATATACACACATACAGACATTTTGAAACTCACAGACAGCCATACTGAAACACACAGACACTGACAGACTCACAGACACAGACATACTGACACACTGACAGACATACTGGCACACAGACAGACATGCTGAAACACACATACACACAGACACTGACAGACAAACACACATCCAGACATTTTGACATACACAGACAGCCATACTGACCCACACAGACACTGACAGACTCACCCACAGACATACTGACACACTGACAGACATACACACATACAGACATACTGAACCACACAGACAATGACAGACTCTCACACACACAGACATACAGATACACTGACAGACTTGCACTCATGCAAAATTTGATAACCACCCTCCAGTTTCTTACCTTTTCCTGGAGGGTGGCTTCCCTGGGGTCCAGTGGGCTGGCTGGGGTGACTGGGAGTTAAGCCTGGCCCCCTCCGGAACAGCTGGTCCGCCTTCCTCCTGCGCGGCTCCTGTTTCTGTGGGAGGAAGTGACGCACGGCTGTCACTTCCTCCCAGTGCTGCCGAAAAGCAAGGTCCCGGTCGCGCTGTTAAAGCGCCACAGCGCCCGACCGGGCCCCTGCTGACACAGGCCCAGCGGGTGGCCCTAAGTGCATGGGCCACCCGATGGGCCCCCATAGTTTGCGGGCAGAGGGCAAACAGGGTAGTTACCTCGGGCCCCCCAGCAGGGACAGGGCCCGGGGCAGCTGCCCCGTTTGCCCCGCGTTAAAGACGGCCCTGCGCATGCTCCACCATTGTTACGGGAATATTCAGAGAGCAAAGAGATGTTTTCTTTTTCTCAATGTCAAGTTTATTTGCAGCCATCCATACAGTCAATGAATGAGAATATGCTGGTATGTTCACAGTGGGTTACATGGAATATTTGAGACATCTTAGCAATATTCTACCTAACAGAGATAAGAGAGAGATAAACTTGATTTTGCCAAATCGGATCTTGGATACAAAGGTCCAGGTCACGAACAATGATC